ACAAGAGCAGTGGCGTAGTCTAGACGACAGACAACAGCAAAGTCAACTAGCTCAGTAACGAGGGCAGACGCAGCAGTGGACTCAAAAGAGGGGTCAGTGACATCAGTGGCAAGGAGACAAGAGACAGTGGGACTGGCAGCACGAGCGTGGCCAGACTCAGGGTCAGGGACGGCAGGAAGAGCGGACTCAGGAGGAGTAGGCAGAGGAAAACGCAGTGGAACAGAGGAAGGACGAAGTGCCATAGCATGTGTGCCGGGGACAGGAGGAGGACGCGGACGAGGAACGCGATGACCAGTGCAAACAGGGGAGGCAGGATGAGACGCAGGCTCACGATGCTCCGTAAGGCCACCGGTTTGCTCAGAGTAAGGAGAAGAAGCAGGCATTGGGGAGGCGGGCTGTAATGGCGGCTGCGACTGGTCAGGCGGTAGACACAGTAGGGGAGGAGTAAGGGCAGTTGGAGAGGGGACACCAAGAACCTGCTGAAGTTGAGGAAAAAAGTACGGTCGCGACCGCACAGTGCCTCCAGCACCAGTACCACCAGCACCCCCAGCTCCAGCACCTCCAGCTCCAGGGTGAACAGCTCCAGCTCCTCCAGCTCCAGCGCCTCCCGCGCCAGTGCCTCCAGCTCCAGCTCCACCAGCTCCAGCTCGTCCAGCTCCAGCGCCACCTGCGCCAGTGCCTCCAGCTCCAACACCACCAGCGCCAGTGCCTCCAGCTCAGCGCCTCCAGTCCCAGCAGCTCCAGGCTCGGTAGGGTCTTCAGCTCCAGCGCCCCCAACACCACCAGTCCCGTCAGCTCCAGTACCCCTGGTACGAGCACCTCCACGACCAGCAGCCGCAGCACCTTTAGCACCACCAGCTCCAGTAGTAACTCCAGTACCTCCAGCTCCAGTGTCTCCAGTGGCTCCAGCTCCGGCAGCTCCACTTCGAAGGCGTGCACGCCGAACAAGCCACTCACGCAGCTGCTGCGGGGAGAGAGGCTCCGGCCGGGGAGACAGTTTTGACGATGCACCAGCTGGACCTCAAGACGAAGCAGCACCCCGAGGCTCAGCACCCCCAGACTCCGCACCCTTAGACTCAGCACCCCCAGGCTCAACACCCCTAGTCGCCACACCTGCAGGCTCAGCACCCTCAGGCTCCGCACCCCCAGGCTCAGCACCCCCTGACCCGGCACCCTCGACCTCCATGACCAAGCCAATGCGACGCTCACCAATCCTATTCTGCTGCGGAGAGGCCGGAAGCATGAACGACTGGGTGATGCCCTCCCCACGACAAAAGTCCCGTAAGAGGTCGGAGGAGAACTCACCACCTCTATCAGAGTGCAGACGCAGGACAGAAAGGTCCTGGCCGAACCGCTCGCCTAGCTGGAGACGGACCGCGCAGATCCAAGGGATCAAAACATCAGGGACCTCACCCTTGCTGCGCATGGGGAAGACCGTGGTGTAACGCGTGTAGTCGTCAACAACCAGCAGAAAGTAGCGCTCGCAGCCCTGTCCACTGACGCGGGCTGGGCCCCACACGTCCATGTGGAGAGTCTACAGGGGAGCATTCGTCGGGGGAAACGAGGAGGAGTGAGGAGCGGCGCGCTGCCGCCCCTCGACGCAAGGAAGGCAGGGCGGGGCAGGCGAGGGAGGGAGGGGAGGCAGAGACCTGGGAAGACCAGAGACTAGGAGGCGGGAGTGCATGCCACGCAGGCATGGCAGGGAGGGGTGACCAAGGTGGTGGTGCCAGAGGAGAGTCTAGTGCGACAGGAGGCGACACGAGAAAGAGGGTGCTACCTCACCTAACGCGGACACCTGGGCAGACATGGCTACTTGAGGAGGCTCGGTAGCCAGTGTGTACAGACTCGACCCTGGCTGGCGAATGAACGTGGCCAGGTGACGACCCGTCCGTGTACACGTGCAGATCGACACACGCTGACCCCCTAGGAGTGGTGGTAGTGACCATCGAATCCTGGAGGGCAGCGGTACTCACCAAGTTCGTAGAGAACGAGGGGAGGTGAAGACCAGAGAGTGAGCCGGACGGAACCGCCGGACACGGAAGAACAGTGGAGGAACGGGCAACGACTGGGACCTCGGAGGGGTCAGCCAGTCTAACCGGGACAGGTGCAAGGAGAGGAGTGAGGGTGGTGCTGTCACGAAAGAAACAGCGTGAGGCACCTGAGTCCAGCGTGAAGGTGTGCAAGGCCTTAGCAGGCGCAGTACCAGGGAGAGAAGACTCACTAGCATCTAGAGCTGCAGCCTCTATACCTGGGTCAAGCGGCACACACCGGTAACAGTCAAAGCATACATAGCAGAAAGGATACCATCATAGTCTAGGTCAAAGATAGCAACTCCAGACCTAAGCAGCTCTGCCCAGTGGGGGCGCTCGACCTCGTCACCAAACTCAGTGAGCAAAGCGTCGTCGAGGCGGGAGAAGCAGCGGTGCTGAATGTGAGGCTTCCCGCATGTCTGACCAGCACGGTCACCCGTGCGACTGACATACGGGCAGCTACCACTACCCCCAGACGCCCCTCGCTGAATCAACCAGTCACGAAGCTGCTAGGGCGACGGGGTCTCGCTCCGACACTGCTGCCGCTGTTTTTGGCCTCCTCCAGAACCTCCACGCTGAGTTCTTGTCCTACGGCCACCACTCCCACCGCGTCCACCGCCGCCACCAAAGCCCCCACTCCCGCCACCACTCCCACCGCTGCCACCACCTCCACTGCCTCCACCACGTCCACTGCTGCCCCCACCACCACTCCCGCTGCCACCGCCACCACCACTGCCACCCTTGCCCTTGCTGTTGCGGCACTTCACACTAGCAGAAGCAGCCCTGACGTCCTCAGCACTAGGGTCGTCGACATCAGCAGCGGAGGCGTAGGAGGGGGCAAGGGGGGAGGGGGAGCACCCCTCAAAGAAGGGTGTGCGCGGAGTGCCACGAGCAGCACCTACAGCGACTACACTAGTCTCAGCTGCAAGGAGGTGCTGCTCGAGTAGGGCAATAGCGAGGACTGTGGGGTCGAGGGAGAGAAAGTGGTCCCTGATAGAGCGAAGAGAGTCAGGGAGGCGGGTGACGATAAAGTAGAGAGTGAAGAACATCGGGGGCTGGTTCATGTCAAGGAACTCAGCTGGGGCGGCAGCGCAGTAGCGAGCGTCGCTAGTGCGAAGGTCGGAAACCAGGTCCTCTACAGTGGCAATCGCGGATACCTCGGGGAACAGATAGGGCAGTAGAAGGCAGCCTAAAGCAGCAGTGGCAGGCAAGGAGTAGCAAGCGACGATAGCGTCGTACAGTGCCTCTGCTGTCTTGTGCTGTCCGAAGTGAGCGCATTTGGCTAAGGGCAGGTGGTTGCGAATGGCTAAGAAGGCAGCAGCGTCGCGAGTAAGCCATTGTGAGCGAGTCACACTGTCAGCTGTGGCGGGAGGAGCGGGAGCGGCGCCAGACGTGTGGTCAAACAACAAAACGCTGTCCCTAGAGTCGCTCAGTAGGTATAGCTGCAGGTCTTCGAGCCACGTGTCAAACTGTAGTGGGCGTCCCTCATGATCGAACGCTAGCACGCGGAGAGAAGCCATAGTGGCATAGCACGCAGCGCGGGGAGAAGCAGGGCAACGCAGAGTAAAGGGCAGGCAGCAGCAAGGGGCTGTTAGAGGGCCGCAAGGGGCGGCTAGCAGAGCAGCAGGGGCGGTTAGAGGGCCACCAGGGGCGGCGCGTGGGGCTGCAAGGGTGGCTCGCGGGCTGCAGGGTCGAGGGTCGGGCCGCAAGGGGTGGCTCGCGGGACCTGGGGTCGACGGGCGGGCCGGGGCCTAGGGGCGACGGGCGCTGGGCGACGGGCGACGGGCGTCGGGCCGGGGCCTAGGGGCGAAGGGCGACGGGCCGGGGCTAGGGGCGATGGTCGAAGGTGCCGGGGCCTAGGGGCGACGGGCCGAGGTGCGATGGGCGACGGGCGACGGGCCGGGGCCGGGGCCTAGAGGCGACGGGTGCGGGGCGACGAGCGACGGGCGCGGGCCTAGGGGAGTCGGGCGACGGGCCGGGGCTAGGGGCGACGGGCGACTGGCCGGGGCCTAGGGGCGTCGGGGGACGGGCCAGGGCTAGGGGCGACGCGCGCGGGGCCTGGGGTCGACGGGCGACGGGCCGGGGCCTAGGGGCGACGGGCTGGGGCTAGGGGTGACGGTCGACGGGGCCAGGGCCTAGGGGCGACCTGCCGAGGGGCGACGGGCGACGGGCCGGGGCTAGGGGCGACGGGCGCAGGCCTAGGGGCGACGAGCGACGGGCCAAGGCCTAGGGGCGTCGGGCGACGGGCCGGGACTAAAGGCGACGCGCGCGGGGCCTGGGGTCGACGTGCGACGGGCGACTGGACCTAGGGGCCGCACGAGGGCAGTGCGTGGGGCAGCAGGTGCGGCACAAGGGTCGCTAGGGGTGGCTAGTGGGGCAGCGCAGTGGTGGGCCAAAGGAAAAAAAATCGGTCCTAGCGAAGGACTTGCTCTGAAACCATGTCAAACTAACGAACGAGAATTAATGCATTGAACAGAAGTTGGGTACAAGTACTAACCCTAATTGGGTTGTACCCCTTATGGGCTACCCCACTATAGCCTACACAACTGTAAGCACTATAACATTTTGACAAAGTAATACGCCTTAATGCCGTGCTTGCTACGTCCAAAAGAACGAGCCTCAGTGCACCATACATGGTGTCCTTTATCCCACTGCGCTAACACGCTCCATCCTTGAAGTGCTCGAAACAATTTACCTCGAATTGTGTACGTTACCATTCCAACCGCAGTTAGAGGGTGCGCTTGGGTGCAACGACCCACCACATCCATTATCCAAGGCAAATTTTGGTGATCACAAAAATAATTGAGAATTTATCTCGTAATGATTCAAATGTGATATATTCCAGTGGGTGAAATCGAGAGGCAAACAAAGAACTTTTATTAAAAGAAAATGCATACACACATGCAATTTTGCAATCAACAAGGCACTCGAGTTTCAACAACTCCTCATCCTTTCGATCTACTATGCCTGCTAGGTACCCACCCCCTTGTTGGTCTTTGCAAAATCCCGCTGGCCGCCCGAGGGGCCACTGCCATCATGGCGCTTGTTGTCCGTCTTGGGCTTGCCAGAGTAATTCACCGACTTGCGATGGTGGCACTCGTAACCCTTGTGTCCAGGCTTGCCGCACTTGAAGTAGCTCTGGAAATTGCTTGGTCCACCCTCGTTGACCTTCTTGGCCTTGTGGTCAGCCAGCTGTCCTTGCTGGAAAGGCCTCTTGTGGTTCTTGCCCTTCCAAGGCGTTGCCTGCTGCCTTCCGTTAGGACTCGCGGGGCTAGACGACGGCATTGAGGCCTGCTGCGACTGGGTAGTAGTTTTCGCATAAGCACGGAAATGCTTATCAGTGGTCCCCACCATGCACTTCACGTGATCGTAGGACCTCCACGACTCCCCAGCCCCATCCGTCATGTGCATGCTCTGGAGGTGCTTAGGCAGGCCCGTGAAGAAGAGGTGGATCTTCTCGCCTTCGATCATACGTTCCGCCGGTTTCTGCAGCACCCATATCTCCTCGAACTCCATAGCGTACTGCTGAACTGTGCGGTTCCCACACTGCAGCTTCTCAAGGCGACTGCACACCTCCAGCTAGGTCGGCTGGACCTGGAAAGCTTGCTTGAGTGCAGAGGCAAATTCCTCCCACCCAAACGGCTTCCTATCCGCCTCAGCCTGGATCTTGCTGCCATACACCACTCGCTGTGCATTCTGGTCCAGCACGGTGGTGGCAGCGACGACGCGAGCGACGTCATGGACCTTGTGAGCCTTGAACAGGTCGGTCATCATCGACAACCATGCTGCCACATCCGTCTTGCCATGGATGAATGGCGGGAGGGTAATTGGAAGAGAGCCAAAAACCTGCGTGTTCGGCTCAGCAGCGCGCTGCGTAGAAGGTCCGGGGTCACCCGCCACACCACCAGAGCGAGAGGGGTGGGTGCGTCCGCTAGTAGAATTGGCAGGCGGGTCCGCTCGTGGTGCAGGGCGAAACATGGTCTCCCTTCGTAGGGCCCTGAAAGCCTCATGCAGCTCGTTGATCTTTGAAGTCCGTCTCGCCAGCTGATGAACGTGCTCCCGTGCGTCGTGTTTCGTGTTCTTAAGCTCAACTTCCAGGTACTTGATTTTGTTGTCCTGGTCAGAGAGCTCCCTCTTGAGGTTGGTAATGAGTGACTGCTGCTGCTGGATGCGCGTATCCTGCTCAGCAGCATGATTCTGCAGCTTAGCAATTTCAGCATGCAGAATGTCCTCTTCCCCTTCCAACTCAATGTCATCCTCCTGGGACTCCTCTTCCTGCTCCTTGGAATTTTCAGCAGCTGGAGGGTTCTTAGCAGGGGAGTTTTCGGCAGGTTCCTTTTCAGCCATTTCCTAATCCATGTTGTTCAGGTCAATCTTTTGCATACAAGCTTCCAGTTCAGCATGGGAGTTGGTGCCTTCAACACCACCAGCATTGGAGTTGGTAGAAGCCATTAAGAACATAATCACTGTATAATAAAAGTAAGCTACAGATCTACTGCAATTTGTTATCACCGCAGTGAATAACCAATTTTTTCTCCGAAGGAGAAATTTCTTCAATAGATCTTACAACCACAGCATTGTGAAAAACCACTCTGTTGCAAAATATCCTTACCACCGCAGTGGATAAGGCAAGAACAATCACAAAGTGGTTGTCTTCAATAGAAAGGGTTAATCCACATAGGTTGCCAATAACCAAGTTCTTCACAGTGGCTCCAAAAGTTCCACCAACAGGGAGGGAGGGAGGGAGGGAGCAGAAGACTTGGAGAAGCTTGCAGATTTGGAGACTTGAGCTGGAGTAGCTTGTAGTCTTCACAGGTTTATAAAAAGAAAATTACAATGAAAAGCACAATCTCTCCAAGAAAAAGAAAATCCAGATTTTTTCTTGGATGCCCACAAGGAGAGGATCTCCCTAAAGCTCTGAATACCAATGTAACAGATCTACTAACAAAAGGGGCATTTACCCATTTATCAATAGGTTGTAATACAAACAAAGAGTAGCAGCTCCTGGAAATTACTAAGTCTAAAGAGTGCTAGGAGATGCAGTAACAAACTCTGGAAGGTGAGTTGATGAGAGAAGGATCCTATTTCCCAATTGATTAGTTCGGGATAGGAAGTGGAGAATGAGCTTTCTTGGCTCAGACCCCTCCCTAGACCCCCTTGGGGTGCAGACACCTCCCTCATGGCAAGGAAGGGTGCACCACCATGGGCCTTGCCCATGTGGCAAAGGTTGATCCTTTTACTCAATGACATGGCACAAACAATGGAATAAAATGTTGTGTATGAAATATGTTATCCATACATGTCATGTTTTAACAGGTTGCAATTTCAAGGGAGAGTTGCGTTGGAATTAGGTTGGGAATTTATGATTGGCTACAATTCCAACCAGCGGCGGAAGTTCCGTCGACTCACTTAGGGTGAGTATGTTCTGATTGGCTAGACAAGGGTGACATTTGAACTTACGTGGGTTTTGTTCAAACCTATCGCGTAGGTTCAGTCACAGTTATGTAGCAACTTTCTGATTGGTTGCATCTCCAATCAACTCCAAAGTCCTCGCTTCCAATCAATTTCAAACCAACCATGTTTCTCCCCTTGTGTAACCCCAATCGCCAGGTTTGACCCTTTAGTCCTCTTCCCTTATGGTGCTCCTTGCTTATGTACAAATGTACATTGCTCCTCCGTAGTCCTCTATACTTCCCTCTGTCATACAACTTTGGTTAAACACCATAGTTTTCTGACATATTAAAGAGGATAACATTGAGGAGAGAATGGAGAAGGAGATTAATGAGGGGCGGGAGGATGAGGAGGAGGAGGAGGAAGAGGAGGAGGAGGAGGAGGAGGAGGAAAATGACGAGGAGGAGGAAAATGACGAGGAAACTGAGGAAGAAAACGAGGAGAAAAATAGTGAGGAGAAGTTTTACGATGAAAAATGAATTTGAAGAGGAGAAAATTGAGTAGCGCTTTGAGAAGGAGATTAATGAAGGGGAGGGGGAGGAGGAGGGGCAGGAGGAGGAGGGGGGGGGGGAGGAGGAGGAGGAGGAGGGGGAGGAGGAGGAGGAGGAGGAGGAGTGAGTGGAAGGAGGGCAAGAAGAGGAGCAGCAAAAGGATTCACCTCTGTTGCAGAAAGGTGTGACACGGCGGGCGATTTTCTGGACAAAACCCCCTGTTGGAAGGTGTTCAGGGTTTAGGTTAAAAAATCGAAAGTCAGAGTTCTGGGTTCAGGGTTTAAAGGTCCTGGTTTCAGGTTCGGGTTCAAGGTTCATAAGCCACGGCTTGCTAATGTGGGGTTTGGGAGGTGATTTTTGAGTTGACTCATAAGTAACTTAGTGTTATCAGGCTTAGGGTTAAGAATTCATTGTCCCCACCGATTTGTTTCCTTTTTTCCTTCACCGTGTCCCCTTAGTGCAGATCACAGGAAAAAAAAAATCCAACCCCCCTGTTCCAACGTGCAGAGCTCTCGCACTCTCCTCGCCCTTCACACCACGCCACAGCAGGCACGGGGGGAGAGGGTGCAGGTGAGAGGGGGGACGACGCATGGAGGCGACGGACGGTTCCAGTCTTTAGCATCCAAAAGGGCTGCTTTTGCTATAGGAGCTGCATGTGCTGCTGAAGGTTGTGCAGGAGTTGTTGGTGGTGATTGCGATGGGCTAGCGGGGGGGAGAGGCAAGAGCGGTGGGGCTAAGATTGCCCATCGCTCTGACCGTCCCTGTGAGGATCAAAGAACTGGTTCAGAAAATAGATTATGATCAAACGGGTACAACATGAGGCTATTTATAGGCTCAACACAAGACTAGTAACATGGGTGCTACTAGAAGGTTCCAAGGGTCGCGAAGCGTCCCGAACGGGTCCTTCTTGAATTCGGTAGAAGCGATTTTGTGGCAACCGAAGAGCGCAGAATTCAGTGCACGCAACCAAGAACGGTGCTATAATGATAATAAAGATAGTAAAGCAACGATTCTAAGGAAAACGAGCAAAATCATGCATAATAAAATATGGCTAAGCATGATAAAGCATAATAAGGTCGTACTCTCACACGCCCCCCCCTCAAAGCTGGGTGGCGTGAGAAACACCCTGCTTGACAAAATGGTCCTTGAGAGCACGGCGTGCGTTGCCCATATCAGCTACTGCAACCCAGCTGTCCTTCGATGGGACATATCCCTTCCAGCGTATCAGGAATTCGAGCGTGGTGCTGCGCATGCGTCGATGAGTAAGAACTTGTTCCACCTCGTACTCTGGTTCATCCTGTACGAGAACAGGTGGTGGTGGCAGTAGCTTTCGTCCCGTGAACTGATGGTTGGGGTCCCTGTAGGGCTTCAGTAGCTGAACATGGAAAGTGTTGTCATTTTCCATATGCAGGGTAAGCGCGAGGCCGGATTTTGGACGTAAGATGGGATAAGTCCAACTTGCGTGTGTCAAGAGGCTCCTTATCTCCGATTGTTACCAAGTGATCTCGTCGTTGTCGGTCGGCATACTGCTTCTGGGAGTTCTTCATCATGGTGAGACATCGCTGAGTCTTCTCCCATAACTACTACATGGTGGTGACGAAGTCATGTGCGGCTTGGACGTGTGCTGGTGTGGTTGGTTGTTGTGGTGTAAGTGGTTCGTCCGTAACACAGGAAGAAAGGAGATTTCCCTGTGGCCGCGAGTGAAGCGTTGTTGTAAGTGGACTAAAGTGTCAGTCATTATAGATCCCAATGGCTGATGTCATCTTTGCAAGCTGTGCGCAGTAACTGTTCAACCACCTGATTGAGTCGCTCAGTCTGTCCGTCAGTCTGGGGGTGGTATATTGAGTGTAGCGGGGATGCCGTGGATGGTGACGATCCGGTCGAAGAAGAGGCGAGCAGTTGCTTCAGCAGTGGTCGTGGCGTTGGTTGGGATGAAGTGCCCCATTTTAGAGAACTTGTTGATCACCAGGAGTATAGCATCATGCCCCCATGAGGTCGAAGGAAGCCCAATAGTAAAGTCGAGGCTAACGAGGCTTGTCCGGTACGGGTAGAGGCTGAAGTAACCCTGCTTTTTTTGCTTGCTACTCTTCATCCGCTGGCACGTTCGCATGAGGTGACGAACTGGTGCACGTCTGCTGCCATCCGGGGCCAGTAGTAATACTTTGCTATTCCCGCTAACGTCTTGTTACTCCCAAAATGTCCCGCGTATGCTACGACGTTATGAAACTCCTCCAGTAAGATCTGTCGGAGCGGGACATAGTTCGGTACCCAATTTTTTCCTGAACCCTTCTTTATCGCCAAGTCATTCTCCCACTGTAAAATGTTATGTTTCTATGCTGTGGCGATCTATGCGTCCACGGAGTACCCATGTTGGAATAGACCCTTGAGAAGAGGGTTCATCCCGTCGAGCTGGATGCCTGCTACATGCCCTAGGCGGCTCAGCACTTTGGCCTTGTTGTGTAGCCCTGGCATGTAGACGATGTCGTACATGAAGTTTGTTTCCAGGAAGTCCATCCACCGCGCCTGTCGTTGTAAGAGCGTAGGCTGCGACATAAGGTAATTGAGAATACAGTGGTCAGAGTATACTGTAGTCTTGGCTCCCTTTATGTAACACCTCCACGCCTTGAAGGCTGTGACTATCGCTAAGGCTTCCTTGTCATGGATTGGGTAATTCAGTTCTGCTCCGTGTAGCTTCTTACGGAGGTATTCGATGGGTTGCAAGCCGCGTCCGTGATCTTGCATCAGTACTACTCTGACTGCCTGGTCACTAGAATCTGCTTCCACCATGTAATCTCTATTTGGATCCGGTAGGATGAGTACTGGCGCTGTAGTCAGTGCTATCTGTAGCTGCTCCAAGGCTTGCTGTTGAGGAGTATATTATTTATAGGGCATATATTTTTTTAGTAAGTTCGTCAATGGCGCTAATATCTTAGCGTATTGTGGCACGAACCTGTTGTAGTAGTTGGCGAAGCCTAGAAACTATTGCAACTCTTTCACGTTCTCAGGAACCTGCTGCTATCTTTGCGTACTGTGGCACGAACCTGTTGTAGTAGTTGGCGAAGCCTAGGAACTGCTGCAACTCTTCCACTTCTTGACGACTTCGATCTTACGTAGGTCCACGTGTACGCCTTCCGCACTCACCATGTGCCCGAGAATCTGCACCCTCTTCAATGCGAAGTCGCTTTTCAACAGCTTCATGTAGAACTTGTTCTCCCGCTGGATCTCATAGACTTTCCGCAGATGCTCTACGTGCTCCTTCAAGTTTTTTGGAGTATATGAGAATGTCGTACAGGTACACTACTACGGACTCGTCCAGCAGGGGCCGTAGGATGTGATTCATCTCCGCCTAGAACGTCGCTGGTGCATTGCAGAGTCCGAACGGCATCACTATGTATTCGTAGGAGGCATATCTGGTACGGAATGCCGTTTTGTGGACCGAGTTGTCTGCCATCTTGATCTGCCAGTAACCCGACCGTAGGTCCAGCTTCGAAAACACCATTGCACCACGCAGTTGGTCTAGAAGATCGTCAATGCACGGTATGGGGTATTTGTTCTTGATTGTCTGTTTGTTCAATGCCCGGTAGTCGATGCACATCCGTAAACTACAATCCGGCTTTGGAGTGAAGAGAACCGGGGCGCCGTAGAGAGAGGTTGATGGGCGGATAAGTTTTCTCTGCAGTAGGTATTCTATCTGCTTTTTCATGTACGACAATTCAGTCGGACTAAGGCGGTATGGTGCACGGAGGACGGGTTTTGCACCTGGTTCCTCCACAATCTCGTGTTCGTTGGTTCGGGCTGGAGGCACTCCTCCAGGCAGGTCGTCCGGCATGATGTCCTTGTATTCCTCAACACCTCCTGCACTATTGCAGGTAGCTTTGAGTTCTGTTTCTCCTCCTCCGCTGCTGCCATCACTAGTGCTAAGTAGCACGTGTTACCCTCGTTCACCGTCCGTTCGAACCGTGCAAGTGTCGTCTCAGGAACATCCCCTATATCCATTTAGCTTCGCAGCTCCACACGTTTCCCATTGTTGTAGATGCACGCCTTCTGGACACCGTCTATCTCGGGGTTGAACCGCTTCAGAAAATCACGCCCCAAGATGAAATCTAATCCTTTGATGTTCGCGATCGGCAACGCCGGCTTCCACCCAAACGCACTTATCTGCAGTTGCAGTGTTGACTCCCCGTGGATGGGAAGCTTTGTACTGTCCACCATCGTTGCTGTGAACCGAGTCTCCACTGAGGACTCCCCAATTTTCTCCAACGTCCCGCGGTCGGACACCGACTGGGACGCTCTACAATCCATCAAAGCCTGGAGGCGTCCCTTTTTGCAGAGCACCTCGAGCAGTAGTGGTTGTTGCTGATCCGAGTAGCCGTAGATGGTCTTGCTTATAGGATCATAGGGTACATCAAATATATCATCCCTAGGTCCTAACCTCGAAGCTGTAGACTCAAGATCACATTTCACCTGAGTAGGGTAAGAAGGATTTATCATAGGCCGACTTAGCTTCTCCTGGGCATGGAACCTTCCCCTAAGCCAATGAAGTTGTGTAGGCTTCACCTGTAGGGAATAGGGAGCCTTAACATTATGCTGATAGGAGAGGATATTAACTCCTCGGAATGCTCGACCCTTTTCAACACTCCAGAGTTGGGTCCCCAACATGTCTGGTACCTGTACTATTTCTAAATGCTTTTTCTTAGCCTCTAACTCTCCCTTAAAATTTTCAAAGGCTTTAAAACCACAAGAAATAATATTCTTAGTTAAAGTATCTTTATAGGATTAAACGAATTCTTACTCTCGAGGGTGATCAGCTGGAGTTTCCAGGTTGCTGCAGAGTCTTTATTCGCGGAGTCTCCCTTCGTCCCGGCGATTTCCCTTGGTGCCAGCCAGTCGTAACGTTTTAAATTTGCGCCATCATTTTTTTTTTTTTTTTTTTTCGCTTGCTCCGAAGTCTCCATGCCATTGCCCTCTTCCCTTTTCCCGAATCCTTTCCCGATCGCCAGGTCGATCCGCGGCTACTAGCGATTCTCGTTTATTTTTACGTCGGGGGTGCCATACTGTTCTTGCAGTGCAGCTTCACACGTGCCTTCTTCATTTTCCAAAACACAAAGAATCAATGTCCGGCTGCGC